GAAATGACACCTCTATATAGTCTAGAATAGACACATGACACCTCTATATAGAGGAATGAAGACACTCTATATAGAGGAGTGTGGACACATGATGTTTAGGGTACCTCTATATATAGGAGTGACGACACATGCTATTTAGGGTACCTTTATATACAGGAGTGAAGACACATGACACTTCTATATAGAGGAGTGACAACACATGCTATTAGGGTACCTCTATATATAACGGAGTGAAGACACATGATGTTAAGGGTACATCTATATAGAGGAGTGATGACACATGAGGTTTAGGGTACCTCTATATATAACTGAGTGAAGACACATGATGTTAAGGATACCTCTAAATAGAGGAGTGACGACACATTTTTGAGGACATATGATCAACTGAACCGTTATATAGAAGACAAATGATGTTAAGGGTGCCTCTATATAGAGGAGTCGTGTTTAGCATGTGTCTTGTGTCTTCACTCCTTTATATAGAGGTGTCATGTGTCTATACTAGACTATATAGAGGTGTCATTTTTAGTATGTGTCTTAACTCCTCTATATAGAGGTTCCCTAAATATCATGTGTCTTCACTCCTGTATATAGAGGTACCCAAAATAACATGTGTCTTCACTCCTCTAGATAGAGGTACCCTTAACTTCATGTGTCGTCACTCCTCTATATACGACACCTGATGTTAAGGATACCTCTAAATAGAGGAGTGACGACACATTTTTGAGGACATATGATCAGCTGAACCTTTATATAGAAGACAAATGATGTTAAGGGTACCTATATATAGAGGAGTTAAGACACATACTAAACATGCCACCTCTATATAGAGGAATGAAGACACATGATAAACATGACACCTCTATGTAGGGGAGTGAAGACACATACTAAAAATGACACCTCTATATAGTCTAGTGAAGACACATGACACTTCTATATAGAGGAGTGACGACACATTTTTGAGGACATATGATCAGCTGAACCTTTATATAGAAGACAAATGATGTTAAGGGTGCCTCTATATAGAGGAGTCAAGACACATGATATTTAATATGATAAAGAGGACACCTCTCTTATAATTGTGACAAATAAAGAGGACATCATTTTGGAAAGGATACCTAATTATAAAGATAACACCGCATAGAGGATATGTGATCAGGAGGACACCGTTAGTTAAACCTTTCACACGTATGTAACTTAAGAACACTCTACGATGCATTGATCTGGATGAGTCCATTATGGACTACAGTGGTGAAAGGGTTAAAAGGATAATGAAAGCAACGCCTTCATTTTGAGGACATATGTTCAACTGAACCTTTATATAGAAGACAAATGATGTTAAGGGTACCTCAATATAGAGGAGTGACGACACATTTTTGAGGACATATGATCAACTGAACCTTCATATAGAAGACAAATGATGTTAAGGGTACCTATATATAGAGGAGTGTCGACACCTGATGTTAAGGATACCTCTAAATAGAGGAGTGACGACACATGATGTTAAGGGTACCTCTATATAGAGAAGTGACGACACATGCTATTTAGGGTACCTCAATATAAAGGAGTGAAGACACATGATATTTAGTGTACCTCTATATAGAGGAGTGAAGACACATGCTAAACATGACACCTCTATATAGAGGAGTGAAGACACATACTAAACATGACACCTCTATATAGTCTAGTGAAGACACATACTAAACATGACACCTCTTTATAAAGGAGTGAAGACACATGACACTTCTATATAGAGGAGTGAAGACACATACTAAAAATGACACCTCTATATAGAGGAGTGAAGACACATGCTAAACATGACACCTCTATATAGAGGAATGAAGACACATGCTAAACATGACACCTCTATATAGAGGAGTGAAGACACATGCTAAACATGACGACTCTTTATTAAGGAGTGAAGACACATGACACCTCTATATAGAGGAGTGAAGACACATACTAAAAATGACACCTCTATATAGTCTAGTGAAGACACATACTAAAAATGACGCCTCTATATAGAGGAGTGTAGACACATGCTAAACATGACGACTCTTTATTAAGGAGTGAAGACACATGATGTTTAGGGTACCTCTATATATAACGGAGTGAAGACACATGACACCTCTATATAGAGGAGTGAAGACACATGCTAAATACTACACCTCTATATAGAGGAGTGAAGACACATGCTTAACATGACACATCTATATACAGGACAAGTACAACACCTCTATAGAGACAATGGACACATAAAAACACCTTTGATTTGCTATTTTGATGTTTAAAAGATAAAAAAAAAAAAGTAACATAATAATTTAAAGACGATTCTTCCATAATGTACATGTAAATAACAGCATCCCAAGCATGTACATGTGATCACATGACATTGTCAGGTTTCTATATGTACACCCTCACACAGAACAACCTGCAGAGTAACATCTACCCAAAAACAGAAAAGAAACAAGGAAAATAGCAGTGGTTTTGTTATACAGGACACATACTCTGATAACACACCAGATATAATGTCACAGTTCAAAACTATTCCTAAATATAATCTCCACATTAATATATAAATGTGTGCATGAGAAAAGTCTGGCCACTATGTCCAACATTTCAGCACAATAATTGATGTGAAAGCGTTTCATTTAAACCACAAAGATGAAATAAATACATGAACTATCTCATTTAATGAGCTGCGTTTAGATGAACAGACAAAGTTCTTGGAATAAATTCACAAATATGTTTTAAAATCAATTATTTGAGAAGTAACCGAAATTTTCTTACATAATTTATACATGTACCAGGCACACAAAGTATATCTGATATTCATATTCCAGGAAGTTATAATACATGTAATGAGATGATATCTTCCATAGACTTTCTAAATTTAAAATGTACAGAGCTCACAACAATGTTATCATATATGACAACCTCAATATTGTATTGTGGATGGCTGTANAAGGAAGGGGGGGGGGGGGGGGGGGGGGAGGTGGCCCTTTTTTCATTTTTCTGTTTAAAAGTGGTTTCCACTCTTCTAGTCAACAAAAAAATAACCCTTGTTTTAACACCTACTTCATACTTATTCCCTAATCTTCTTTGGCTAATTTTAAACATTCATTGTTCAAGTCTGAAATTAAAAACCTTTAAGTATTTTGCAAACTGAGTGTTAGACAAATCAAGGTTTGAATAACAGTGCTCAGAACAGCTAGGGCTCAGATCCTGTCAGTTTAAAAGTTGTTATGGGTTATCATGAAATTAAAGTTAATAAGATTTCTTGTGAGTAAAATAAACAACAAAAAAGAAGCTTATAATAAATAAATTAAATAAATATACAACATTTGATATAGCGCCCTATCTCGCTAACATAATTAAGCCACTCTAAAGCGCTTTACAGTACATAGATATACAAATTTATACAGTCAATACAATTAGCATATATATTAATCAATACAATATTGAGGAATTCCCAGGAGCTGCCTTATCAGGCGCTAACTACTAGTCCTATGCCACCTGGCTAATATCTCCCTATGTGTATGCCTGTGTGTGTGCTGGAGATGTATTGTGTTCTGTTTGTAGTGGGGCCGTGCTTCCAACGGTATCATTTATAGTGCCACCTCACTTGAATGCTACAGCACAGATACCGCAACATTCACCCCAGATCATTTTATACTCCACCTAGGTTGTTGGAGTTGTGTGGGCAGGAGAAAAACACTTTCTCTGAATATTCCATGCATACGGCGACTTCGGGGATCGAACCCCGGCCACCTGATTGGAAGGCCGGAGTGTTAACCACTCGACGAATCCGCCCATTATAATGATTATCTGAGTGTTGTCCCAGATGGTGATCTATATATAAGATACCTGAGTCAACATTCCCATCATTAAAGATTTATTAACTTATGATAAAGTATTTTATACATGTTTGAAAAAGTGGAATAAAAATGTTGGTCAATCAACACAATTAACCGACACAGCGATGTTGTTTTGTGGTGATGATTAAATCAGCCATCTAGAGGTTTATATAATTAAATTGAATTGAGATTCAAATTCATATTAGTCAGATTGGGAGCTGTATCTGTATGGTTGCGTTAAAAAAACAATTTTGGCATATGATCAACGGGTAACAGAGCTTAAACTAGTCAAAATTGAGGCTAGATCTAAAACCCTCCACAGATGTCACATTCACTGTACTTGCTGGTCACTAGTAAGTGATTGAGCTTCAGTCTTTAACAGTTTGTATAAAAAATGAGTTTGACATACAATGCTGTGGTGTAAAACACCGGCTATTGTTGGTACTATTCACAATGTTGCTCTCTGGCTGGTTACCTTTTGGAATAATGATTAAATCCATCAAATTAAGTAATCTGTGTATTTTTAATGAACCGGGGAGTACAAGTACTTTTGGGAATGTAATTTTAATATGATCTCAATAAACTTACACACACAGAGTGGTTCTGATAAGACAAACATACCTGTCAACCCTTGCAAGTTATGGTGAGTTTCTTGACTTTTTAATCGAAATAGTAAGTTACATGTACATTTCTATGTATAATTTATAAACAGTACAAACTAATATTAAATCACTGTTTACAATAACATTAATAACAATATATGTCTGGTATTATATATAGGGTATTACAGGCATTATGTACTTTTGCTACACATTTTCTTCCACTTGGAATTTTGAAAAAGTTGACAAGTACGAAAACACTTAAAATGCATGTCACACTACCGTCGAACTATTATGTTATGTGATGTAGCATCGTGATGCTGATATCATTAGATCATTTATCAGACTTCAAATAAATGTACGTATATATTATTCATAACAAAATAAAAAGGTTGCGTTAACTCACCTGAAATGCCACCGACTTCCAAAAGCACTCTTCCTGATTCAGTCAAACCAGGAAGTATTTACTAGCAATCTCATCTCACAATGCAACTTTGTTTTGTTTTCGTTTCGTTTTCGGAATGCCCTTCTAGGTTTTTAAAGCATTAGAAGAGTTCCGAATAACAATACATTTTAATCAATCAAATCGTTAACTATATACAGTTTTAAAAGTGTTCATCGAATCACAAATGTATTTTTCATTTTTATTTTTCATTAACAGTATTGCCATTTACTAAAATTGATCGTTTTTATGGAAGTACGAAACTAAATAATTGGATATTTATATTGTAGGAGGAAGAATGGCGACTGCTGGTGTGGTCCCTTGGAAGGAGAATCTGTTATTACAGTTGAAATGCCGCAACATGAAACAGAAGCAGCCTTTTGAGGGCTTGATTCAATCACGTAGGTTCATTTTAAACATACTATTTACTTCGTTACGATGACATGTTCAATTGAATTCGTAGATTGGTTTATAACTGTCACTATTTTTGGTTTCGGTTTGTTTACATTTGCAGACAAACACACTCGGCCGAACCCCAGTTACACGTTTATGTTTCTGATTAAAAAATACAGTGTGATAAAGGGACAAGATATGTTGATGTTATAAATACCTGTTCAATAATGCATATTGTGATAATGGTATCTGTCAAATCTGCTTTATTATCTGACACAAGGGTATAGGTCACAGACCTGTAACAGGAGAGGATAAACCCAAACCCTAGATCTACCAATTGAGTCCAAACTCCATAAGTCACTTAATTACCTTTTTCTAAACATTTTATTCGGTTGGTAAGTAAGGATTATAAAAAGATTCTTGTAACACAACCAATAAGTGACGTTTCGATGAACGGATGCAAAAACTGCGGCACATCGTATATTGGAGAGACTGGAAGACGATTTGGGGTCCGCCTTGGTGAACACCAGAAGGATATACGGAAACCCAAGAAGGAAAGAAATTCACCTGATCACAGACCATGCCACACAGAAAAATAATGTGATTGACTGGGATAACTCCAAAGTATTGGAAAGGAAGAGCAATTGAATCTGTTCAAGGAAGCCATATGGATATACGTACACCAGAGTCATAAAGCAATACCATACTAGTTATCAAAACGTCACATAGAAACACTTATTGATTGTGTTACAAGAATCTTTTCATAATACTTTAGTAATAATGCCTTGATTGCCATGAAAGTGATCTTCAGTAATAAGTGACTGATATCATCACAGGTTCACCACTGAGACATTAGCACTGTCTCTTTTCATATTGTAAATCTTAATCTTGACTTTTCAAAATTTAATTTTCCAAAAAATGTTGGTGCTACAAACAAATGCCTGGCCACCATGAGTGCTTGTGTATTAATGTCAAATGGTATTTTTCAATACCTAGCACACTAACAATGTACTGTTACTGTAATACTAAGATGGTAATGAGTAATATCACCTTTGTAAATTAAATATATTAGCCCTGGCTAGTTTCCTCTGACCTGAACACCAGACTTAGACATTTTGACATATAGATGTCTGGTGTGGGGTCAGAGCTCACTGCTATATGAAAATGTGGAATTCTCTGACACCGTTTGGTATCGGAGAGTTTTGAGATGCTGACAACAAAAATCTACTATGACACAACACATACCTCACATATAACAATAAATGGATTATTTATTGATCCAAATCAGCCCTTAATTTATAATCACCAACAGCTGTTTTTCAATCGTTCAAAATCTCCCACCTGAGCGAACACTATTTTTGTTTGTCATGGGGTGACTAAGTCAACAAACTGTACTGATCCGGAATGAAAACGGAATATATTTTTTCTTGTTTAGAAGATTTCCGGACTGCATCGTTTTGTTGATTTGTCACTCCCTGATACCAAATGGTACACTTTCATATAGAAGTGCGCTCTGGCCCCACACCAGACATCTATATGTCAAAATGTCTAATTCTGGTGTTAGGGCTAGAGGAAACTCAGGCTATAAATATATCTGCAACTAAGTGCATAATACAAATTCATTTTACATTTTTACCCAAGACAGAAATGCTGTCCAACCTATTAAACATGACCTAGAGTAAACTTTTATGCTATATAACATATACAAATGTAGTAACAGTAAAATATTGAATTGTCTGTAGCCATCTTCCCTAACCAAGGGTTATGATCCGGTAGCGTAGGAAGACCAGATGATTCAGATTTTAACTGTTGACTAGCGAAGATGATCGATCAGCCACCCAACATGTCCTGATTTAGGGGGGAATGCTGTAATTAAACCTAAATTATGTACTTGCAGGAATTTACTTGGTACACTCGTTCCATTTACAGATAGCAAGCTATTTGAAAATGCTACTTTTCTAAAATCCAAGAATGTCCACCTGACGTTAGAGACTGAGAAACTGAAAGAAGAAAACCTTAGCCTGCAAATCAAAGTAGAGAGCGGGTAAGTATATATATATAGAGCCCATTTTCATAAATTTCATCCTGAGATTCAAATTAACAATGAAAAAAATATTGCACATGTATGCAATGGATGAAATCAGTAAATATGCCCTCGCCATAAAATGGAGGAGCATATAGTGTTGCCCATGTCCGTCCCGTCCCGTCCCGATTCAATGTAAACACTTGGCAACTTCATTCTTTGACAGATATTGGTCAAACCTTTTACAAAGGTCAAGTATGAGTATACTTCGGACATCGTTGTGTTTCAGGGATCCAAGGTCAAGGCCAAGGTCATACTTGCTATATATAGAAAATCATCAACTGATTCAATTTAAACACTTAGCAACTTCATTCATTCACGGATTTTGGTCAAACTTGATATAAAGGTCAAGTATGGGTATACCTCTGACATCCTTGTGTTTCAGGATGGTTATAACATACAGAAAATACATATGACCATTAAAATCAACATATCAACTTTAAGTGTAGTACCTTGTGTGTGTGCATGATTCAGGGTATCAAGATCAAAGTGGTTGTATCTTTTTATAGAACACTGAAACTAATTTCACATGGCAGCAGGGGCATTTATGTCTTACAGACATTTTCTAGTTTGAAATTAGATTCCTTGTAACATTGTTTTGATATTATTATAGTGTAACGTTTGAAATGGCCGTTGGTTCCACCATCATGGACACTGTTTGTCGTATGACCTTAGGTGTTGTTTGGCCCCGTCGTCAGCTGGCATCATCGTCAGAAGACCCAAACTGGTGTGTGGTCGTGATGATCAGTGGACATCATGGTCATATAAACTTATCATTAGCTGTATGTAGTATAGCTCAATCAAAAGAACCTGCAATCATGTGACCTTGACTGTTGTATAATGGTCCTTATCATCAGTTGACATCAACATCACATGGCAATAACTGTTGTGTGGTCCCTATCATAATGTGGACGTCGACATCATCACTGTACAGCCCCTTTTGCAGTAGACATTATTGTCATGTGACATCGACTGTTGTGCGGTCCCTATCATAATGTGGACGTCGACATCATCAGTGTACAGCCCCTTTATCAGTAGACATTATTGTCACATGACATCGACTGTTGTGGGGTCCCTATCATAATGTGGACGTCAACATCTTCACTGTACAGCCCCTTTATCAGTAGACATTATTGTCTTGTGACATCGACTGTTGTGTGGTCCCTATCACAATGTGGACGTCGACATCTTCACTGTACAGCCCCTTTATCAGTAGACATTATTGTCATGTGACGTCGCCTGCTGTGTGGTCCCTATCATAATGTGGACGTCAACATCATCATTGTACAGCCCCTTTTTCAGTAGTCATTATTGTCATGTGACATCGACTGTTGTGTGGTCCCTATCACAATGTGGACGTCGACATCTTCACTGTACAGCCCCTTTATCAGTAGACATTATTGTCATGTGACATCGACTGTTGTGTGGTCCCTATCATAATGTGGACGTCAGCATCATCATTGTACAGCCCCTTTATCAGTAGACATTATTGTCACATGACATCGACTGTTGTGTGGTCCCTATCATAATGTGGACGTCAACATCTTCACTGTACAGCCCCTTTATCAGTAGACATTATTGTCACATGACATCGACTGTTGTGTGGTCCCTATCATAATGTGGACGTTGACATCATCATTGTACAGCCCCTTTTTCAGTAGACATTATTGTCATATGACATCGACTGTTGTGTACCTATATATCATCATTTGACACTGTCATATGACCATAGCAGTTTGGAAGACGTTAAATGCCAAATAATCTTCCTTTTACATTTACTGTTCATGTTTAAAAGGAGTTGCATGAGAAATGAAATGTCATTGAAACTAATAAATAGCAAATTTGAATTTTTCTATTTAAATTAAGTATGAATTATACAAAGTTATTTTATATTATTTTAGTCCATATTGATCCAGTCACTGGTAATTTATACCTGTCATCCAACAAGTGGTTTACGGGTGTATTTCCGTTTCCTGTTTGAAATTTGTCCCAGTAATCCAGTCAAGTCACAATCCCAACCACTTTTGCTGGATGCTGGATCAATAATAAACAGACTGTACATACCCAGTACATTGTAATAAGAATCAAGCCTCCTTCTTCCATGATTTTAGTTAAACATGTAAAACTGTTTTCCTGGACATTGCCGCAGATTAACCTTTTGCATTTTCTGCCCTCCATAGTGAGGGCAAAGTTATGAAGACAGGAAACATTAATACTAGGGCTGCAACGGTTAGAAAAAATGCCGTTCGTATAACTGTGTGTGCTTATCCGAACCAAAACCCGGTAACCGTGTTTTCTTTTGCAATGAAATATGGCCACCAATGGCTCTATATTTTGATAAAAAAATGATTACTTAATTCATTAAAAGCATAAACAAAGAAAACTCAATACTTTTGTCTTGTGAATACAGTTGCAAAACATTGCAAATTCTCAGAATCGTTATGAATTGGTTACATATCGCTAGCCTCCCCAGAGGGAAATTTTCGTAGTCTCACTTCACTCTTATGTGTTGTCAACGCTATGTGCACGTATTTCTGCGTATCACTTCTGGTCGAAACACTGACGATAGCTGCTGATGAATGATGAGTTACATTGTTCAACAGAATGTCAGTCGATGTTATGTTAACATTCAATAGTAAAGCATGTATACTGATCACGAGTGTTTTCGAGGTCTGTCAATCAGCAGTCAGGAGCGACATTTCTGCCCTGGAAGTCAATAAATACATGGATTTTCTAACCGGATAGTTCTCGTTACCGAACGGCAACCGGGTACATGGGTACCCGTTCCAGCCCTAATTGATACAGTTCACATATGTACATAACATATACAGTAATTGTATGTGAACGGCAAAATTAATTCTAAGTAAATATGGACTATTATGGTCTTTATTACTGAACGGAATTTCATTAAACTTGATACAAATGTTTGGTATGACAGAACCTTGAACAAGTTAGTGTTTCGGGTTACTGCGTTAGAAGTCAAGGTCACTTTTACTATTTTTAGAAAAACTTTGTCATTGCTCCATAGACTTCATTTATCAAAAACGCAAACAGATATTCTGATGCAAGCAAAACACAAACTGCGCAATAAAAAACTATTATCAATCGAAGAATGCAGTCGTTAAAGCAGATACTGATACAGCATTTGATTTTCTATTTATTTCCTCATACATATGGCACACAATGTGTGAATGTGAGGGGATTTGTATCACGTGTGATGATGCCTTGTTTGGTCTGTTTATAGATCTATTCCATTTTGAAAACATTTGTGACAATATTATATAAGATTTATATCATCTTATCTTTCGCTTTCTTTTCTACAGAGGTGGAAGTGGGGGAGGAAATGCGGGAGAAAAAAATTCCAATCTTGAACACAAGCTTTACAAACTACAAGAAGAGCTGACAGAACTTCACAGGAAAAGGAGTGAGGTAAAAATCACAAGCTACTCAATTTACGAAAACTCCTTCATACCATAAAACTGGTGTTCTAATTTTGAATAACTCACAGATATTTCCCATACAAAAAATATTTATTATTTTTTATACTTATATACTACTGGTAATACTGTATTTATAGTAATTAACACTCAAGGTGATTGTAAAATGGCTTAAAGGGTGGTGGGGGAGCTTATTAGGATTACGAAACAAGTTGGCGCAGTTACCTCGTGGTAAAGGTGACATAACTGTCGGACACATTCTTAGGAAAGTTTTTCCGTTTTTTTGCATCAATGAAAGTTCACCCTTTCTGGCATTACTGAAGTATCTAATATAAAGGGTGGAGTATATTACACCTTGATAACAGGAGCAGGCCAGAACAGAGTGTTTTTTTGAGACACAGGGTATTCAAATAATTCCATTTAGAGCAACACAAATGGGGATTCAGTGCTTACAACATGAGGGTTCCAAAATCAGCAAATACAGTACGTTGAAAACCTTGATCATTAAAAAAAACGGTCATTTCTACTGTGACTGGTCTGAAACGTAAGAGTCAAAATTGTACAAATGGAGGGGCTGAGGGGCGGGGCCAAAAAGGGATAGTATTTGGCCATATTTCTTTAAGCAACTTTGTTTCTATAACTAAAAAAAGGATATCAGCAATATTTTGTTGGAAGCATCCCTAGGCAGTTGGGATTCAATATTGTACAAATGGAGGGGCTGCCCCACCCCCACCCCAAGGGGGGCTGAGAGACAGGGGCAAACATGGGTTATTTGGCCATATTGATTTTAGCAACTTCTTCTCTAGAACAAAGTAATGGATATCAACCATATATGGTTGGAAGAATTTCCTGTTGGTGAAGATTCACAAGTGTACCATGTTAAAGCCTGACCCCGGATCTGCGGGGCTGGGCCAAAAAGATATTTTTTAAGTTTGACATTATCAAGATCCCCACCCTATAACCATGTATACAATTGGTGAGCATCAAGAAACATACACAATGATATTATAAGAATTAACCCTCGGGTCTGGCCCCACCCCTAGGTAATTCCTGAGCCATAACTTTGAAACAGTTGAGATCCCCACCCCATAACCATGCATATATACCATAGATATTGCTGGGTATCTGTGAAGAATGGACACAATCGTGATATAAGTATTGGCTCCTAGGTCTACTCCACCCTTAGAGACTTGATTCTTGGGTCATTCCCAGTAGATAATTGAGCCACCCTCATTTCTAGAAGATAATTCAGCCACCTCCATTCCCAGTAGATACTCCAGCCACCTCCATTCCCAGTAGATAATCCAGCCACCTCCACTTCCAGTAGATACTCCAGCCACCTCACTCCCAGTAGATAATACAGCCACCTCAACTTCCAGTAAATACAGCCACCCCCACTCCCAGTAGATAATCCAGCCATCAGCATTCCCAGTAGATAATACAGCCACCTCAATTTCCAGTATATAATCAAGCCAGCTCCATTCCCAGTAGGTAACACACCCACCTCCACTCCCAGTAGATAATACAGCCACCACCACTTCCAGTAGATAATACAGCCACTATCACTTCCAGTAGATAATACAGCCACCTTCATTCCCAGTAGATAATACAGCCACCACCATTCCCAGTAGATAATACAGCCACCTCCACTCCTAGTTTATAATCCAGCCACCTCCACTCCTAGTAGATAATACAGCCACCCCCACTTCCAGTAGATAATACAGCCACCTTCATTCCCAGTAGATAATACAGCCACCACCATTCCCAGTAGATAATCAAGCCACCTCAATTTCCAGTAGATAATACAGCCACCACCATTCCCAGTAGGTAACACACCCACCTCCACTCCCAGTAGATAATACAGCCACCCCCACTTCCAGTAGATAATACAGCCGCCTTCATTCCCAGTAGATAATCCAGCTTCCCAGTAGATAATCAAGCCCCCTCCACTCCCAGTAGGTAACACTCCCACCTCCACTCCCAGTAGATAATAAAGCCACCACCATTCCCAGTAGATAATACAGCCACCTCCACTCCCAGTATATAATACAGCCACCACCATTCCCAGTAGATAATACAGCCACCACCATTCCCAGTTGATAATACAACTACCTTCATTCCCATTAGATAATTCGACCACTTTCATTCAGAGTAGATAATACAGCCCCCCACCCCCACCCCCCACTCCCAGTAGATAATCCAGCCATCAGCATTCCCAGTAGATAATACAGCCACCTCCATTCCCAGTAGATAATACAACTACCTTCATTCCCATTAGATAATTCGACCACTTTCATTCAGAGTAGATAATACAGCCCCCCCCCCCCCCCCCCCACTCCCAGTAGATAATCCAGCCATCAGCATTACTAGTAGATAATTCAGCCACCACCATTCCCAGTTGATAATCCAGCCTTCAGCATATCTAGTAGATAATACAGCCACCTCCATTCCCAGTAGATAATATAGCCACCACCATTCCCAGTAGATAATCCAGCCATCAGCATTCCTAGTAGATAGTTCAGCCACCCCCATTAATTAATATTCCCAGTAGATAATACAGCCCCCTCCACTCCCAGTAGATAACACAGCCACCTTCACTCCCAGTAGATAATACCGCCGCCTCCACTCCCAGTAGATAATAAAGCCACCACCATTCCCAGTAGATAATATAGCCACTGCCATTCCCAGTGGATAATACAGCTACCTCCACTCCCAGTAGATAATAAAACCACCACCATTCCCAGGAGATAATCCAGCAATCAGCATTCCAACTAGATAATTCAGCCACCACCATTCCCAGTAGATAATATAGCCACTGCCATTCCCAGTAGATAATACAGCTACCTCCACTCCCAGTAGATAATCCAGCCATCAGCATTCCTAGTAGATAATTCAGCCACCACCATTCCCAGTAGATAATACAGCCACCTCCACTTACAGTAGATAATACAGCCATCAGCATTTCCAGTAGATAATACAGCCACCACCATTCCCAGTAGATAATCCAGCCATCAGCATTCCGAGTAGACAGTTCAGCCACCACCATTAATTAATATTCCCAGTGGATAATACAGCCACCTCCACTTCCAGTAGATAATCCAGCCATCAGCATTTCCAGTAGATAATACAGCCACCACCATTCCCAGTTGATAATCCAGTCACCCTCACTCCCAGTAGATAATCCAGTCACCTCCATTTCCAGTAGATAATACAGCCACCCCACTCCAAGTAGATAACACAGCCACCTCCACTCCCAGTAGATAATCCAGCCAACACCATTCCCAGTAGATAATATAGCTACCACCACTCCCAGTAAATAATACAGCCACCTTCATTCCCAGTAGATAATACAGCCACCTCCATTCCCAGTAGATAATCAAGCCACCTCCACTCCCAGTAGGTAACACACCCACCTCCACTCCTAGTAGATAATACAGCCACCACCATTCCCATTAGATAATATAGCTACCACCACTCCCAGTAAATAATACAGCTACCTTCATTCCCATTAGATAATTCGACCACTTTCATTCAGAGTAGATAATACAGCCAGTAGGTAACACACCCCCCCCCACTCCTAGTAGATAATACGGCCACCACCATTCCCGGTAGATAATTCAGCCACCTCCACGCCTAGTAGATAATACGGCCACCACCATTCCCTGTAGATAATACAGCCGTAGATAATACAGCCACCCCCACTTCCAGAAGATAATACAGCCACCCCCCTCCCAGGATATAATCCAGCCATCAGCATTCCGAGTAGATAGTTCAGCCACCACCATTCCCTGTAGATAATACAGCCACATCAACTTCCAGTAGATAATACAGCCACCACCATTTCCAGTAGATAATTCAGCCACCTCCATTCCCAGTAGATAATTCAGCCACCTCCACTCCTAGTAGATAATACAGCCACCACCATTCCCAGTAGATAATCCAGCCACCACCATTCCCAGTAGATAATACAGCCACCACCATTGCCAGTAGATAATACAGCCACCTCCACTCCCAGTAGATAATACAGCCACTGCCATTCCCAGTTGATAATACAGCCACCACCATTGCCAGTAGATAATACAGCCACCTCCACTCCTAGTATATAATCCAGCCACCTCCACTCCTAGTAGATAAAACAGCCACCACCATTCCCAGTAGATAATACAGCCACCTCCACTCCCAGTAGATAATACAGCCACCACCATTCCCAATAGATAATACAGCCACCTCCACTCCCAGTAGATAATCCAGCCACCACCATTCCCAGTAGATAATACAGCCACCTCCATAGTAGATAATCAAGCCACCTCCATTCCCAGTAGGTAATACAGCCCCCACCATTCCCAGTAGATAATCCAGCCACCCTCACTCCCAGTAGATAATCCAGCCACCACCATTCCCAGTAGATAATACAGCAACCACCATTCCCAGAAGATAATACAGCCACCACCATTCCCAGTAGATAATACAGCCACCTCCATAGTAGATAATCAAGCCACCTCCATTCCCAGTAGGTAATACAGCCACCACCATTCCCAGTAGATAATCCAGCCACCACCATTCCCAGTAGATAATACAGCCACCCCCACTCCCAGTAGATAATCCAGCCAACACCATTCCCAGTAGATAATACAGCAACCACCATTCCCAGTAGATAATACAGCCACCTCCACTCCCAGTAGATAACACAGCCACTGCCATTCCCAGTAGATAATACAGCCACCCCCACTTCCAGTAGATAATCCAGCTACCTCCACTCCTAGTAGATAATACAGCCACCTCTACTCCCAGGAGATAATACAGCAACCTTCATTCCCAATAGATAATACAGCCACCTCCACTCCCATAAGATAATACAGCCACATCAACTTCCAGTAGATAATACAGTCACACCCCCCCCCAGTAGATAATCCAGCCATCAGCATTCCTAGTAGATAATTCAGCCACCACCATTCCCAGTAGATAAGTAGATAAAACAGCCACTACCATTCCCAGTAGATAATACAGCCACCCCCACTCCTAGTAGATAATACAGCCACCTCCACTCCTAGAAGATAATACAGCCACCTCCATAGTAGATAATCAAGCCACCTCCATTCCCAGTAGGTAATACAGCCCCCACCATTCCCAGTAGATAATCCAGCAATCAGCATTCCAAGTAGATAATTCAGCCACCACCATTCCCAGTAGATAATCCAGCCACCCTCACTCCCAGTAGATAATACAGCCACCCCCACTTCCAGTAGATAATCCAGCCACCTCCATTCCCAGAAAAAAATACAGCCACTGCCATTCCCAGTAGATAACCAACTCCAAGTAGATAACACAGACACCTCCACTCCCAGTAGATAATACAGCCACTTCCACTCCCAGTAGATAATACAGCCACCCCACTCCCAGTAGATAATTCAGCCACCACCATTTCCAGTAGATAACACACCCACCTCCACTCCCAGTAGATAATACAGCCACTGCCATTTCCAGTAGATAATAGAGCCACTACTCCCAGTATATAATCCAGCCACATCCACTCCCAGTAGAAAATTCAGCCACCTCCACTTCCAGTAGATAATCCAGCCACCACCATTCCCAGTAGATAAAACAGCCACCTCCATTCCCAGTAGATAATACAGCCACTGCCATTTCCAGTAGATAATAGAGCCACTACTCCCAGTATATAATCCAGCCACATCCACTCCCAGTAGAAAATTCAGCCACCTCCACTTCCAGTAGATAATCCAGCCACCTCCATTCCCAGAAAAAAATACAGCCACTGCCATTCCCAGTAGATAACCCACTCCAAGTAGATAACACAGCCACCTCCACTCCCAGTAGATAACACAGCCACTGCCATTCCCAGTAGATAACCAACTCCAAGTAGATAACACAGACACCTCCACTCCCAGTAGATAATACAGTCACCCCCACTCCCAGTAGATAATACAGCCACCTCCAGTAGATAATATAGCCACTGCCATTCCAAGTAGATAATACAGCCACCTCCACTCCTAGAAGATAATACAGCCACCTCCATAGTAGATAATCAAGCCACCTCCATTGCCAGTAGGTAATACAGCCACCACCATTCCCAGTAGATAATTCAGCCTCCTCCACTCCCAGTAGATAATTCAGCCACCACCATTTCCAGTAGATAATTCAGCTACCTCCACTCCTAGTAGATAATACAGCCACCTCTACTCCCAGTAGATAATACAGCAACCTTCATTCCCAATAGATAATACAGCCACCTCCACTCCCAGTAGATAATACAGTCACCCCCACTCCCAGTAGATAATCCAGCCACCACCATTCCCAGTATATAATACAGCCATCACCATTCCCAGTAGATAATACAGCCACCATCATTCCCAGTAGATAATACAGCCACCTCCACTCCCAGTAGATAATACAGCCACCTCCATTCCCAGTAGATAATACAGCCACCACCATACCCAGTAGATAATACAGCCACCTGAATTGCTGTCATCCAACAGGTTATCCAACCAACTCTGTTCAAACCATTAATGACTGTATTTTGGAGATGATTGGATAGCTTGTTAATTTTGTATAGAAATAATTGGACACCAGGATTTTGGTATTATAATTTGATGTTATTTGGCATAGGCAGGACATAGGTGTAGGTAAACCATACATGGTAGGACTTTTGGGGAAAAAAGAAACAATAGATGAAATAAGCAAAATACAACCAATAAAAGTGCTCTGAGTGTAACCTTTCAGTGGTGCTAACCAGGATTCGAACCCTTGACCACTGATTGTTATACTGTCACTCTAACCAACTTAGCACAGAACTGCCATGGCCTAGTTGTGCTACAGTTATATCCAAGAAAGAAATTAGGGGAGGCTAGCTATGTAAGAACAAACATTGTTGGATTCTCTTTTGTTATTCCTTGTATAAAGAATGAGTACATTATGTAGGACAGAGATCTTCAATTCATTACCAGATGCCAACATAACTTTTATTCTTCATGTATATCAGATACACTAAGGAAAACATTGGACTTTACCTCTGCCTCTAACTCTGTACACTTGAACTCCAACAAAGGTGCTGTATCCTGATTGTGTTTGACATGAGATATCGTGTATTTCACGCCCACACACTGTCGGGGAACATCCTGCTGTTGTCATGTATAACAATACTTTAATCTCAAACTCCAATACATATCAACAAAGCTTCCTTGTTACACAACAACATCATTCGATAGATAGATGGGTGCATTTGGGTTAAATTAGATAATTTGTATGACCCCATCACTCCCAACCCATCCATTACAAGATGGGTAGGGGGTTTATCTAAGTCTCTACCTCAGTTTTCCCTTGTGTCAATCTTAACTTCCTTATCGTAGAAGATAACTTCAGGTTTATATTTTTAATTTGATCTACATACGTCCTGGAGTCCTGATACGTCCTGTGTGATTCAAGGACTCTTCCCGAAAGGTCAAGGTCATTGTCATATATCAAATGACCTTTCGGGAAGTCTATTGTATACCTGGGATCGTTTGCTCAGTATAATAGTTGTCCTTCCCTGCTTAATCTTTTTTTTCATTCATTATTAATGTCTGCCTTTACAGTTGAAATACTATGTATAGTAAGGTGGGTACTGGTGCTCACTATTACAATGAATTAATTCATCCGCAACATGGAGGGGGGAGGCAAAATTCTTATTGCAGCAATCATTTACTGATTAAAACTATCTTTCTTCTTTTTAATCAGATAGTTTTATGTCATGAATCTATAAATTCATTTATTTATTAATCCTTGGAAAAAGAGTTTACCTTTGGTAGGCTTAAGCACAGAATCTGAGTTAGACCATGACAATGGTTCACAACTTTGAATTTGGTGACATATGCTTAGGGCTACAACTTACTTTGAATACATTACTGTATATATGAAGAAAAGTAAACATTCTTTATATATCTTCAAGTATATTTTTAAGCATATTGTATCTTTGCTTGAATTGTCATGCAGTACGTATATATTACACTTCCAAAGGGTTTGAAAGAGTTCAAAGAACTATAATCAGTAAAATAATCATGTGTCTCTTTATTTACTGCAGAATGCTCAACAAATTATAGATTTGAATACAGCACTTCAGGAAAAAGAAAAGGAACTCCAAGCAAAAGATAACAGGTAACCTATCAACAAGGTCTGCTAGAAACAACACATTACTGTATGGCGTGAAATGTTCACTGCAGGTCAATTTTTGCCATTATCGCCCTCCGTAATGATGGCAAATTTATCATCACAGCGATTAAAAGTAAACAGCACAATAAACATAGTTATCACTTCGGAGGGTGAGTTAACAGCACAATAAACAAAGTTATCAATTGGGAGGGTGAGTAAACAGCACAATAAACAAAGTTATCAATTGGGAGGGTGAGTTAACAGCACAATAAACATAGTTATCAATTGGAAGGGTGAGTTAACAGCATAATAAACATAGTTATCAATTGGGAGGGTGAGTAAACAGTACAATTAACATAGTTATCAATTGGGAGGGTGAGTAAACACCATAATAAACATAGTTATCAATTGGGAAGGGTGAGTCAACAGCATAATAAACATAGTTATCAATTGGGAGGGTGAGTAAACAGTACAATTAACATAGTTATCAATTGGGAGGGTGAGTAAACAGCATAACAAACATAGTTATCAATTGTGAGGTTGAGTTAACAGCACAATAAACAAAGTTATCAATTGGGAGGGTGATTAAACAGCACAATAAACAAAGTTATCAATTGGGAGGGTGATTAAACAGCACAATAAACAAAGTTATCAATTGGGAGGGTGAGTAAACAGCACAATAAACATAGTTATCAATTGGGAAGGGTGAGTCAACAGCATAATAAACATAGTTATCAATTGGGAAGTTTTAGTTAACAGCATAATAAACAAAGTTATCAATTGGGAGGGTGAGTAAACAGCACAATAAACATAGTTATCAATTGGGAGGGTGAGTAAACAGTACAATTAACATAGTTATCAATTGGGAGGGTGAGTAAACAGTACAATTAACATAGTTATCAATTGGGAGGGTGAGTAAACAGTACAATTAACATAGTTATCAATTGGGAGGGTGAGTAAACAGCACAATAAACATAGTTATCAATTGGGAAGGGTGAGTTAACAGCACAATAAACATAGTTATCAATTGGAAGGGTGAGTTAACAGCATAATAAACATAGTTATCAATTGGGAAGTGTGAGTTAACAGCATAATAAACATAGTTATCAATTGGGAAGTGTGAGTTAACAGCATAATAAACATAGTTATCAATTGGGAAGGGTGAGTCAACAGCATAATAAACATAGTTATCAATTGGGAAGGGTGAGTCAACAGCATAATAAACATAGTTATCAATTGGGAAGGGTGAGTTAACAGCATAATAAACAGAGTTATCAATTGGGAAGGGTGAGTTAACAGCCCAATAAACATAGTTATCAATTGGGAGGGTGAGTAAACAGCACAATAAACATAGTTATCAATTGGGAAGGGCGAGTTAACAGCACAATAAACAAAGTTATCAATTGGAAGGGTGAGTTAACAGCACAATAAACAAAGTTATCAATTGGAAGGGTGAGTAAACAGCATAATAAACATAGTTATCATCATCCTTCCCCGCAGTCAGTTTTCCTGGACAACATTTCAGATACCATTTAGTCAAGTGTACTGTTTTTAAATATTCTGTTCCTTATTGTTGATAAAAAAGTTGCAAAACAAAATTCATCTATGAAAAAGAGAATGTGAAAATTGTAACTGGAAAAGGTTTTTTCACTTATAATAATAAAGGTGAAATACTTAAAAATATTTCTTTAATCTGAATAAAGCTATAGGAAATTGTCTGAAAATCTTGTCAATCAGAAAAAAATCTCTTTAAAATACCTGTAATCTGAATAAAGCCATAGGAAATTCCCTGAAAATCTTGTCAATTAGAGAAAGATTATTTTGTCAGGTAATTTATTGGTTGTGATGTTCTCTTAACCTTCAGACTGAGTGATGCCACAGCCACAGAGCTGGCCCTGAAAAACGCCATAAAGAACTTAGAACACACAATTATGGAGCTAGAAGCCACCAATCAGGTAAGTAGGTGGGATTTGCCTGACTTAGTCATAGGGGAGGCACAGAAGCTGGGATTCAAATTTTCGTTTCGTTTGGACAACAGTCTTGCATACATGCCAGATATCACGGATTTTCACCTCCGATAAAGTCACACAACGATTTTCCTGTAGTTGTTTAATCAAAGATTTACGAGATTCCACAATGTTTTCAGCGATAAATCACGGAAGCTCTTGAGTAGCTGTCAGGTGAAGGACATGTGATCGAAGTTTATGCAAGAGCTCTTCCGATAACTTGTTTTGTAAACTGTTTGCTACTCATATACAATGTTAACAAAAAACTCTGCCAAAGTCTAAACAAGGTTCTTACTTCATTATTTTGTGCTTTATTTCATATATTTAGTGGAATAAGATAGGGTTTATGCCGTGAAAAACGCCGCGAATATTACCTCCCTTATTTTAGCCTCAAATTCAAACAAATGATCGTAAAACTCACGGGTTGGTCTCTAGGAAATCTGGTATATATGTTCTTGGTATACTGTTTGTACAAATTCTACATTTGATTAATGGAAATTCAACTTCCTCATTGTCTTCTTAACTTTCATTTTTGGCTCACCTGGCTCTTCGGGCCAAGTGAGCTTATGGCATGGTGCGGCGTCCGGCGTCCGTCTGGCGTCAACTTTTTACTTTAAACAACTTCTTCTCAGTAACCAAAAGGCCTAGGGTGATGATATTTGGCCAGAAGCATGCTTGGATGAAGGGCTACCAAGTTTGTTCAAATAAATGACCTTGACATATATCCAAGGTCACAGGGGTCAAATATGTTAAAAGAATTTAAACAACTTCTTCTGAATAACCAAGAGGCCTAGGATGATGATATTTGGCCAGTAACATGCTTGGATGAAGGGCTACAAAGTTTGTACAAATAAATGACCTTGCCTTATATTCAAGGTCATAGGGGTCAAATATGTTAAAATCTTTTAAACAACTTCTTCTGAATAACCGAGAGGCCTAGGGTGATGATATTTGTCCAGTAACATGCTGGGATGAAGGGCTACCAAGTTTGTTCAAATAAATGACCTTGACATATATCCAAGGTCACAGGGGTCAAATATGTTTAAAACCTTTAAACAACTTTTCTTGAATAACCGAGAGGCCTAGGGTGATGATATTTGGGCAGTAATAAACTGGGATGAAGGGCTACCAA